GCTGAATAACATATATAGTTTTATCTCGAAGAAAATCGACCACAAGAAAAAGAACACAATATATTCGCTTCAAAATATTTGAAAGAAATTTTAACAACACAAAAGTTGCATTATATTTATGGAAAAACGCCTGATAAAGACGTTCTTATTAAATTTGTTGGCGATCGGCTCGGACTCCAAATTCCATCGGAAGCGATCGATGGTGTGTGGCGATTTCGAACGTCATCCGCATTAAGTAGTAATCGTTCGCCGATCATTGGTGTATCATTTAACGATCTGTGCGTTCGTTCATCTATTCTATCCAAAGCCTCTGTTCTCAAAAAGTCGTCGGATGCTTCGGTCAGGAGTGTTTTTATTGGTAAACACTTGACCAAACTTCAATCGCAATCGACTTATGAAAAATATCAACAACGAAAAACTCAACAAAATAATCATCAACAATAGTCCTATAATAATCAACAACACCTGCAACAACAATCTGGAAATAATCAACAACAACAATCTGATAATATTCAACAACAATCGGGTAATAATCAACAACATCCTCAAAAGCAGTCGTCTCAATCGTATCCAAATTCTCCCGCTTCGTTCGTTCAACAGAAGTCGGTTCCTGATCGTTCCTCGCGTCGTTCATCTAGAAATAATAATAATATTAAACAAAATCAGGATCAAAATTCATCTTCCCAACGAAATCGGGGAGCATCGGTGTCAGCAGACAGTTACCAGTGACACGACGAGACTCGGGCCAAAACAAAAACAAATCGTTCACTATCTCATAAAGTTCGTTTATTATCGCATAATGTACAAAGTCTACCGACAAACTTTAGTCTCATTCGAGACAACTTTATTCTCTTTTAGTGAGTATGACATTTTATCGTTTCAAGAGACGAATTTGGACTCTAGCATTAGCGATAATGAATTATCTCTGCCTGGTTATTCATTAGTTCGCCGTGATCGAAATCTAAATATCTGTCTACCTCTTCTTCACTTGTCTTATATGCTGATTTAAATTTGACTTTTCTTGTATCTTCAGAAATGTACAGAGTTCAAAGTCTTTCAAACTCTTTCTTATGTTCTCATGTTGATTTTCCTATAACTACTGTATATAACACGTGTATTGATTATGTTTTTTATTCGTCTTCTTGGCGTACCCTATAAAAAAAATTTCAGTGCGGCACTGGTAAAACTCAGTGCGCACCGGTGCGCATGGCATGCCATCGGTCACTGGCTGGCACCCGTGCCCAGCAAGTGCCGAACCAGTGCCGATTGGCACCCGTGCGCACCAGTGTCGATATATTTCTGCCGAAAAAGTGCCGCACTGATAATTTATTTAATCAATTTAATTAGTTCTTTATTATCGTTGTTTATGCTGAATTTTGTATTAGAGTGCGGTACTGATCAGTACCACATCGACATGCCAAAACTATGCGACATTGCCTTGGCACTTCTCTTATGAGAAGGAAAAGATGAAGTCAGAAAGACATTCGAAATATTAGAAGTAGACTGTAGCGTTAATATAGACAGAAATTGACAAAACAAAATGGTGATTGAAAACAAAACTTCGGCA